CATCATTATTATTATTATTATTATTATTATTATTATTATTATTATTATTATTATTATTATTATTATTATTATTATTATTATTATTATTATTTCTGATGATTACATCTCTGTAACTTCTAGGCGACTAAAATCAACACGTCAAGCTTCACATCAGGCACAGGTAGGAAACTGACTCTGATGATTGTAGTTTTTACATGTGCACTCATAAAATGAAGGCTTATTTAGCGTGACTGTGCTCAAAAACAGATTTTAGATGTTACTATCACCTTATTGTATCCTCAAGCTCTTCATAGCATTTCAAGTTTGGTGCGTTTTATTTCACAGAGTTTGTGTCAAGAAAATGAGGACGGCCATTATGAAGAGATTTTCTTCTCCAACCAGAGACCTTCTTTAGACTGAATGTAGACAGCAAGTAGGCAACAGTGTAACACAGACAGGTAATCGGGGTGCTTCAGTACCTATGTAATTAGCAGGCTGCACATCTGGAAAGGCACCATCACTGCTGATGCATATTACAGCAAGATGAATCACATAATGTATTTATTACACCTGACTGAACTCATAGTAGAAGAATCTGGGTGATGCACTGGTCTGCCTGCAGTCCAGACCTTTAACCACCTGGAAACATTTGGCACATTTTGGAACCAAAAATATGACAAACTGAACACTGTTGAACCCTATGAGACAAGAAAGGGACAACATTCTTTTCCAAAAAGTTTCACAAATGCTCTCCTCTGTTCCCCGAGTTTTACTGACTGCTGTTAAAAGAACAGGAAATGCTGAATGTGTCTGTTTTTTGGGGGGAACAATCAAACTCAGTATGACCTTTTTTTCTGTCTCTGTAAATAGTATATTTCCTCTCTTTAACCATTTGATATGTGTTCTATGTTCTGCTGTGAATAAAATATAAACTTATGAGATTTTGTTATGCCCCAGTCTAGGGGTACAGGAACGTAACATAAGAGTTAAAAAAAAGAAGTGACCCCGCCCTGGGCCCCAAAGCCATACAGAGAAAAAACACTTTCTTAGTGAACAGTGGTTTATTGTGCCTAAACTGAAGCGTGACTTCCGGGGTGAACAAAGGGCAAAATAACAAACAAAACCAGCTTAATCAGTCAAGGAGGTGCTACCTGAACCCTACGTGATGCTACGCCTAACTCCCTAAATGAATAAACAGAAGGAAATAATACAGAAAACAACAAGGCAGCTCACCACTTCGGCTTCAGTGACTATTTACAAGTGAAGGCTAATTTACACACTATATTCAAAGCTCTGTAAGTCACGAGAATCACAAATATCACAGAGTTTGGAGGCCAGGGTCAGGTCTGCTGCTGCTGTTAGTGGCTGCCCCTGGACAACTGCTAGTGAGGGATTTTGAAAGCAACCACATGATCAGGGGACCAATCGGCAGCCGTCAGCTTATCCAATCATGGACCTGCAGAGACTTAAAGACACAGACAGAACAAGAAACAGCTACCAAGATACATTATGGCCAGGGCCGTAACAGATTTGCAAATCATTTAATTCTGTTTTCAATTTACATCTTACAGCATCCCCACGGTTTTTTTTAGGACTGGGTTTGTAGAAAATTGCTACATTGTATAAATTGCACCCATGAATTTAGATTATTATATATTGTTTCAAAAAGATCCTGACTTCAGTACCATATTTGTTATAGTTTACTTTTATTTATTATTGCATATCTGTAGATGTTGTCAATAAGACACTGACAAATCCTAGCAAACTGTAGCTGAAGCAAAGGTAGTTTTAGGAACTGAAATGCTCACTTTTATATGAAAACATGATTTACATGAAAAACACTTACCGTATAAAAGAAAAAAAAATGGAACATAGACTGACATGTAACATATAACAACTTATGTAATGTAGAGTTAAATATACGAGTGGCAGAAGGTGCACTCTGATGCAGAATGTCAATCTGGACCTTGTTTAGACTGAGTGCAGGACAGCACGCAGCAGCAGGATGTATGTGATGTTTTAACAGTTCAAAATGTGCAAGGCTAAAAAAAGCCAGTGCAGAAGAAATGAGTGTGGACATGTATTGCACAAATGTTGTACAGAGAAATGTTGTGTTGTAGTTCATTTCAGGTAACCTGATAAGAATCAGGATGTTTGTGTCCGATCCATATATAGTTAGATAATGGCAGTGAACTGAAAAAACAAAACAAAAAAACCCTCTTTTAAATGAGGCATTAAAGTGATGTCACACTAGCAGTTTACTTCCTGTGAAATATTTTTGTTGTGTGCTTCCTATCTGTGTGTATTTTTCTTATGGAACATATTACATGTTTTAAATTCTGCTAAAATGAAGATGAAGCACACTTGTTATTTTTAATAACAAGCTTTGCACGTAATTGAAACATAAATTCTCTTTTTGTATTTATTGACCTAAAATGTTGTGTGTTGGGCTGAGAGGCAACAGTAGTGACAACTTCACAATACTTGTGCATCCAAAGCTTACAGATACAATGTGATACTCGTACTGAGTGTTGTGTATTCTTTAAAATGTTATGCACATTTCGAATAGCCAACGTTAATAAAAAAGTGCTTGGGCTTGAGTAATTGCAGACTTAAGACCTTTCTGACTTCCTCTATCACAGGACAGTATTATTCTTGCATTTTTTTAATTAGCCCATAATTTCATGTCTATAGCATCTTTGCAACTAAAACTAATTGACCTAAAGCACATGTACTACGTATTCTCCCTGCATCTTGTGGTGGTGTAGCTTGTAAATATTGACTGCTGATACATGATATTCATACTTGAAGTTAGTAATTATATTCTGTAACCTTAGGCTTTCAGGTTTTGAATGAGTGAAGTTAGAAAACTTATTCTCAGAGTGACCGAGTCATTTTAGACTTTCAAGAAACAGTATTGACTGACTTCCTCTTTTACAGGATATAAACAGAAAGAACAAAACTGACTTCATTATGCAGTGTGATAGTCAGTGGGTATCTATATTCCTCTCTTGTTGACATGACAAAACTAGTTAGCAAAGTTTGTTGTAACTGTTCTGTTCTTACTGTTTCAAGCACAGCTAAGGAGACAGATAGCCTTTTGACAAGTGTCAGTTGTGTTGTCTGCTATTACGACGTTCCCTTCAAACTGGAAACAGAGTAAAGCTGAAAGAAATCAACAAACATGTCCTTTTCAGATACTCATTAACATATTTTGCCATCTAAACAATGGTAACACAATATAAACACAAAGAATGTAAAAGAAGTTTACAAATTTTAACTGTTTTTTAAAATAAACTTTTTTAAGTTGCTTGAAGACGTTTCACCTCTCATCCGAGAAGCTTCTTCAGTTCTAAGGTCAAATGGTGGGGAGTCCCAGATTTAAACCTAGTGGGAGTGTCCCCCCACAGAGGGACAAAGGACCCCCTGATGATCCTCTAATCGCCTGACCCAAGGTGTGAAAACGGGTGTGGGTCCCAATCAGCCAGAGTTTCGGGTGTGTTCATTGTGAAACCTGGCCGCACCTTGTCATGCGAATTCCTGAGGTCAGATGGCCCAGGATGTGAGTGGGCGTTATGGCGTCTGGGGAGGGAACTCAAAACTGGATTATAGATGGCAGACAGTTGGTGTCGTAAACCACCACCTCTTTCTTTGCAAGCTCCTTTGACTACGATGACCTGGATGACTGAGAACCTTCACAGACATTCTGGACATTAGTTTTGTAAATAAACTTGTGAACTCTTTCTCTAAAGAGCCTGTGCCTGAATCCATTCACACAATTCACAAATGTAGCTACATAAAGTAAAAAACAAAAACAAAACATAACATACTTACAGCCAGTGCTTTCCATGAAATAACACATAAGGATAGAGTTGGGTTCAAAGAGACTGTTCAATCATGATGGCACATGTGAGAATTACTTTCTGATCCTGGCTCTGCCAAGTCCTGATTGGTTACTGCAACTATGACCTGAAAAAAACAATAGCACCACCTGCTGGTGAGTTTAAACTCTGGCAGCACACAGCTGGTTAGGTAATATTAAGAAATATTTTATTTCTTAGCTTTGCTGTATGTTCAGTTCTACAAAGATAGAATCTTAACTTAATTTAGAAAGAAAACCAAAAACCCGAGGACAGAGCCAGCTCTTCATGCAGTTTTTTTGTATACCTGATATCCCTATGTTGGTTTTGTCCCTGCATTATAATGCGATTGGTCACTGGAATATTGATTTAACTGATTAGTTCTAGAAAGTGAGTTAAGAAACATGAATTGTGGCAAAGCATTAAAGTTTTGATTAGTCTTCAGTAAAAGCATGTTATTTTTATAGTATCATAATGAAGTGGATGAAGGTATTCCTCCAAATCTTCATTATACTTTAAGTTTGGTCTGTTTGATTTAATAGAAT